ATATGTGTGTGTGTGTGTGTGTGTGTTCACTAGGTTTTCCAACGTGAACCACTCAGGTTGTATGCATCATAAGTATCAAGATTTAAGCCAACAGAACTTGATTAGGATGCTGAGTGATTGCGAGAAAGCCTAGAATGGTGTTCAGGACCATTAGGTCTTTACGTTGTAACTTATGTATCTGTATAGATTATGACATCCTTAGGATTCTATTTGAGACAATCTTGTACTCAAAAGATTTTTATATACTGAGATTTTCCACAAATAAAGTATCATGATTTTTTTCAAAGCATAAATAAACTTTCTTTTTTTTTTTTTTTGAAAATTAGAGGATGTTACACCAGAGAACAAGTATGTTCTCTGGAGAAGGAGCAGTTAGATCACCTTTTTGTTAGATGTTAAGTGGTAGCTAGGACATGAAATGTGGTGTTTAAATGGTTGGATGTGAATCTCACGGTATTTAATTCGGTGTCGGATCTGCTTCTACACATTGGTAATCTTAGATCTAGTGATAATAAGAAGACTCTCATTGATGAGGTGGTGTGTGTTACGGTTTGGTATTTATAGAAATTTAGAAATGACGGTTTTTGCAGGAGGAAAAGTTAGAAAAGATGAGATTTTTGACTTGATAAGAGTTTTTTTTTGGTACTCAAATATTTAAAAAAAAACTTTTATGTTAATTGGGTTTTCTGGCAAAACCTCTAAATAATGTGTAATTGGTTTACATGTACTTCTAGCTATGTGCTATACTTTTTTTTTCTTGGATTATATATTTGGTTGGCTTTTATTTTTAAAAACAAATAGTGTCATACCATTTTTTTAAGTCACACATACAACGTAATCGGCTCTCAAGGTCTTATCAGTTATAAAGAATTACTTTAGATATTATTATAAGATAAAATTGATTTTAGTGTACAAAATAATAATATAATGATTTTTTTTCCACATATAGAGGGTAATATGTTGTGTTTCTGTATGTAGTCTAGGTAACCAGGTGTTAAGTATTATCATAACATAAAATGATTTCAATGTACAAAATATTCATGTATTTGAGGATAATGGTTTGATTTTCTAACGTTTTCCCTTTTATATTCAATGAATAGTTAATATTTATAATAATATATTGAGAAGAAAATTATATTATATTGTTATAATAATTTGAGTACTCAGGTTAAAATTTTATATTATTCCTATTTGATTTATTGTATATAAAATAAAATCCTATGAATCCGTGTAAGTGAAATTGGTCAAAACATTAACGTTAAGTTAGTTGCGTCGTATTTTTATCTAGGGGTGTGTATGGGACGGTTTGGTTCGGTTATTGATCAAAACCGAACCATAACCATTACAATTGGTTAATGTATTTCGATAACCATTGACTAGCGATTAATATTGGTTATGGTTAATGGTTTTAGTCGGTTATGGTTATGGTTAATGGTTAATATCAGTTAACCAAAATGGTCCAAAATGACATAAAAATAAAAATATTTTTCTATAAAAATTGAAAAACACAAAGTGTACATTATAAAAAGTGGATGATTGTGTATATATAATTGTATTGATAGAATATTACTTATCCTATCTAACTCTAAATAAGTACCCTTTAAATTTTCAATTCCCAATATAATTACATACCACATATTTAATATTATATTATATTAAACCATCATTAATATTATTGGTTCGGTTCGGTTTATAATGATTCGGTTTTTTATTATAACCATAACCGAATCATATGTATTTAGTTAATCAAAATTAGAAACCGAACCATATCTTTTAGTAATGGTTCATTGGTTAATTTGGTTATTGTTCGGTTTTTCGGTTAATATGATCGCCCCTATTTTTATCCAATGTTTTAAAATTTTGTCGTGGCTTCGTCAAGATACGACATTGCTGCAATGTTTGCATCCAATGTCACATTATAAAAAGTCGTCTTATATATAAAACGGTGATCATAGTAGAAAACATAGATATTTATATATAAATATATAAAATATATAAAACGTTATCGTCTTAAGTTACAACTTAACAAACACTATAGCTTGTCATGTCTCTTAAAAGTTGAAGATTAACCTTGTAATCACACCACCTCTTTGTTATTTAGAACATCGATTTTACGGTATCATTTATATCTTTTTGTATCTTTTTCTTATATGCATAGTCATATACCATGTTGATTGAATGCTTTTTAAACTTCCGGTAAGTGTTTGTCGGTTCTTTTGGGATGATCAAAGTCAAGAAATTAAAAATAATTGCGTTAAAGGAAACTAGGGGTTAACTAAAGGAAAGTATGGTCTAGATGCCAGTAGTTTTTTTTACGTTTAATGCAACGCTTTTAAAGAAATGGAGACGGTGGTTTGTAAATGATTCAAGTGGCGTGGCTCAAAGTAATTCAAGCTATTCATGGTGAAAGGGGAGTTTTTTTATTGGAGATGGAGAAGGTCTTATAGTGGGTGGGTTTTGGTCCAATATAAACGGATTTATAAATAACTTACATGATAGAAGCATCATATAAGTTAATACCCTGAAAATTTGTGTTCCTTTCATGGAAAATGTCATATATTATTTCAACTTGAAGTTAATAGATATTGTTGGATTAAATACCGTTGGAACAAGAAACACTAGATTTGGACCGGGCGAAGGGAGGACGGGTGAAACCGAAGCTTTGCAGCTTCATCACCTGGAACGTGATATTCAAATACAAGTTATTACAGGAGTGCTAGACAAGCATATATGGAACTTGGTAGGATCGAAGGAGTTTACGGTTAGTGATACGCAGTGGCGGATCCAGGATCAAAGTAAAGGGGTATCCTTGACAAGTAAAAAGGTATTCCGACATAAAAAAATCGTCGTAATACACAATAAGAAAAAAAAATGCGGAAAAAATTACACTACAAATTTTTTTTGAGTGGTATCCCGGGCTACCCCGGGATATATAGTAAATCCGCCATTGGTGATACGTGATTCCATATTAATACTCTGAAACAACTAGAATTCGAAGATTTCGCCGCTATTTTCACTAGAGCCGCAACAATCAAAGACCTTAATACTCTGAAACAACGTGAATTGGAAACTTTATCGCCGCGAACTAGAGCACGCTATTGAGGTACCATTTCGACTGATACTCATTCTTTATATATATCAATTTTGGAATCTATTTAGATGATTTGAGTCATCGATCCTCTGTTTTGATTTTGATAAACGAGTACGAATGCCTAAATTGGGTCTAAAGATAGAACCTGCAACAATAAGTGACCGGTTTCTTGATTTCATTAAGTCATTTGCACCTCTTTAACATGCTTTTAGAAACATGAAAGGAAAAAATAAGAAAACTATATCATTGTATACATCTGCTTTCTAGCCATTTAAACCAAAACACCACTTACTCTGCTTATTTCTTATACATATGCAACTCTTATGTTCTCATATTCTTCTTTATGAATTTCCCACAAAATAAATACGATGGATGATGAGCTGCAACAACAAGCACAACCCCAGCCACAGTCACAACCTAGGAAAAAAAAGAACAACCACACGACTAATCGACCACACTTAGCCACAAAGTAAGTTCGCCAATGAGTGTGGTGCAATTACGAGAAAGTTAATTTTTGTCAAATATCCGATTTCAAAGAAAGTGCCACAGTCTGAAAGGGTAAATTTATGGCAGACTATTAAGGTTTTTCTTTTACCTAAGATACATTACATGTGCTTTCATTTGATTAAGATATGTAATTAATGATCAATATTCTTACTCTACAACAAAAATAGAACTCGTTGGAATATTCAAAATGATGATCACAAAGCAGCTGTTCATAGAGCATGCAACAGCCAGTGGAGAGGATTCAAGAAGATGCTTAAAAAAGTTATTTTGAATGATGAAAAAGATGAATCCGTTATCTACCCATTTCTTGAAAAGTTTGCATTGTAAAACTTTAAAGAGAGGATATCATCAAAGGAATTTCAGGGTAATGTCTCTTGATTATATTACTTATTATATTGCAATGTTTTAATTGTGTTTGTTAATTCTCTTTGCAGGAACAAAGTGAGAAAGCAAGGGCGAGTTCGAAGCATAATTCAAATTCGGCCCGACTAGGCCCACATGGGTATTGGGGAAAGAAACCTCAGTGGCAAAAAGATATGCCATATGGTGAGTTGTCGTCACAATTGTATGAGATAAAAAGCGAGCGTTCAAGAGATAATGTCATGGGTCGAAGATCTAAAAACGAGTCCGGGTCAAACATAATCCCACCTAAAATACAACCTATAGTCAACAAGCTTGTAAGAATATATATATATATATATA